CCAAATTATATCCAAATTTTTATTGTTATCCAAATAAATTTTTTAAAATTGATATCTAAATATTTTCCGGTCCCTGTGCGAAGGTCCGTTGGTGTCACGTGATCGTGATCACGTGATCATCGCGTTGTACTAATAACTATATTACAGTATGATGCTAAAATCTGGGGTCTTAATTTAAAAATATAAACCCTACTAAAATCTATCTATACTCTTTTATTATTAACACTAACCCTAAATTCTAATCGAACTATAAAAAAAAGGCTGAACAAAACACCCCAAAAAATTTTAAATTTTCATAATAAAATAAGTCAAAATTTCAGCATTATCCAATTTCAGCATCATCCCCGATTTAAAATACTTTTTACAATTGATTTTATTAAATTCAGTGCTTATATAAAGTAATAACTATATAAAATGTAATTAAATAGTATATAGTTTGTTAATTACTTTTTTTTTATATACTGTATATATATATATATACACTATATTTTTATTTTTTTTGTTTTAAATATACTATATTATATTTTTTTTTTATGTTTCTTTTAATTAACTCGATTTTTTAATTTCTTCTAAAATGCTATTTTAAACTTCTATTAAAATAGAAAGCTCTTTATTTATATTTAGCTAATCTTTTTATTCTTGAACTTTATTAGTACTGTATATAGCTATTGTTATTCATAAAAATATATAATCATTAAAGATGATGAAATATGATCATGCTTTTATTTGATATTATAACTATAAACATGATCTTAATATATCGACGATAAATGTGCATCCTTTATGATCTCGTAAGAAGGTCTAATATCAATAGGTATTCCTCCAAGTTCTAATTTATTCAGTGCTTCTTTAACTTCTTTTCTCACTTCACCATACGTATCTACAAATTCCTTTACGCGTTTTTTGTCACCGTCTCCTTGTAATATTAATATGTCCCTTGTTAAATTAGAAACTGCAGATATGACAGTGTCAAAATTGACACTGAAACGTGCGGTCATGGGATCATATATGAATCCGCCTTGTGATAAAATATAGTTTAATTGTATACATTGGCCCAAACCATGTGCCTTTTGAAATTACAATATTAATTAAGATAAATAAAATAATACCTATATATAAGGACTCCCACAGCAAAAAAGGTGATGGCACTATATAATATATAGTCACATTCCCTTCTTGCTGTGGGCGTCCCTAATATTTTAATATCTTACTTACCTCTTTTGTGCCGAATCGAACAGATCTAAACGCTGAAGCAAGATATGTTACATAAAATTGTTGAATTGATGGTTCGGTTAAAAGTCCAATTTTGAGTAAATGAGCAGCGGCGAATAAACCAGTTATATCTGGTGTAGATGATGTATAATTAGAATACATAAGTGTAATAACGAAATGATGTAAATCTACATACCAGCTTTGGCTTCTTCGATCGCAGAATGATATTCTTGTAAACGCGATCTGACTGTAACCGGATTAGGTCCAACTGTATAGTGTGGTCCGTTAGAGTGGGCTATTTCATGGAGGAGAATGTGTGTCTATTCAAAATATGTATGATTATGGTACTGAACGATATAGACCGTTTAAATCATATATATATCAAATAAACTTTACAAAGAATGCGTCAAACGACAAATGTTGAAGCTGATTTTCGGCTACGGTTAATCTGGCGATTGGTTCCAAAATACTATGATATTTTCCTGCAATTGAAAAATTAGACTATAAGATATTGTGTATAATAAAGAAATTGGGGAATGAAATAGTTATACCTTCTTGTACATTCTTAATGATAACTAATTTTGACCCTCCGCGTTTAATAGCTTCTTCCTATATAGTCAAATAATCTGTAAATAAACGTATTAATTGTTACGGCTGATGTTGAAGCTAAAAAAATCTGATTGGCTAAATTTTGCAGATCACCCTAACCCTAACCAATCAGATTTTTTAGCTTCAACATCAGCCGTCACATTTGTTAACTTTCTAAAAGGAATACTGAAACATTACATCATTGGGAAGATTGTATGCGGCAGTCATAGGAACTGTTGGATAAAGACCAAATGTATCAATATGAATAAACTTGCGGGAAAAAATTAAGCCAAAATAAGTACTCAATTAAGATAATTTGATACCTGCAACATCGCCAGCAGCGTACAATTCATTTACCACAACAATTGGAGTGGTTTTCAAATCACTGTTTTTATATTTAGGTGGTACAGGTAGATTATTTTCTACTTCTTGTAAACTATTAGAAAACTTCTCCAAGACTTTAGAAAATTCAAAGTCTCGTGCATGGATGTAAAATTCAAAAGCACTTTTTGCGGAGAATAGTTCATCCGTATATACTTCATAAGGTCCCACAGTAACTTGAAATAACTCATATAAGGTCAAATTTTTTGAGAAATTTTGAGATATTATAATTAACTTTGCATACCTTCAAGGCGGCTTTCTTTGCTGATGTTCAGCCAATCAACTTCACTTTCCAAATATTCGTTATTCAAAAATGCTTCAGCCCTTGTTCTTAAAAATTGGCTCAAAGATTCATCTTCGACTAATTTTGAACTTTCTTTTAACAATCCTGCTATTTCGCTTAATAAATCTTTATATTCGTCGGAATAAGGACTCAAATACAGTTCGCCTCGTGGCTCTTTTCGCTTAACGACATGATAAAATCCTTTGGCTTTAGCTTGTTGTTCTGGCTCAAGAGTTCTAACCCATGATTCGAATTCTTCTTTTGTCATATCTTCAGGATAAAAATTTCCCCCCTCGGGTTTGTGAACTGGAAGGTTTGGAGGATCGGATATGACCAAACCTTCATCACGATCCCATGGACCTTTCAATAAATCAAATACTAAAAGTGATCTTTTGTCCTTGGCGTTTTGGAGTTGGTCGAGTAGAGCCTCGTTACCCTTCCATTTTTGACGAAGGTAGATCCTTTTATTAAAAAAATAGACATTTGGTAAAATGATAATTTACAAACCTAAGCAATAGTTAAAAACACACCTATCGATCAATTTTCCAGCAGCAACCAATCGAGAAATTGCAATTTTTTCATTCTCTGTAAAGCTCGTTAAATCCGCTCCTAAGGTGACTTGGGCATATCTGGAAATAACTTTGCCAATGGCATCTTCAATAATCAGATTCATCGCCATAATTTTGTCAAAGCCATGCCGGTACATTGATGAATGGTCCAGGATTTTGAAGATCTTCGTGTAACGTAAACAAACGCTAACCCAGGCAGGGACGATGATTTACTGTGTTTCACAGAACACCGCAGAATTTTCATTATATGATTGGCCCACTATGTAAGATTTTTAAAATTTTGTCGATCAATTTATGTTTAGTAGTAAAAACTATGTATTTTCAAAATGTTTTGTTTTAAAATTATGATACCATGTTTAATATTAATATATGAATTTTAGTAGGTCTCTATAATATAATTGTTTAAAT